ATGTCATTGGCTTACGGCGACTATTCACTGAGAAGAAATCATGATGTACAAATGGCACAGTATACACAAGACTACACGAAATTGCGCTCTACAATGCTGTTTTAAAGAAGAAGCAACTCTCACAAATAGTTGATGTATCTCGTATAGAACCATTTTGGCATGACTAAAGACAGCCTGAGATGGGTGCGGAGAATGCTTACTAGTGATCACACCTTCTTTCCTTAAATTAAAAAAAAAAAACAAAGCTGATGGGGAAAAAATGTTCAACGATGATGAAGTAATGAGCCAAAACCTGCGTATTTCGATGATAAAGAAAAAAAAAAATATATATAGGCCGGCGAATCGTCCCAAACAGTGGCCAAGCCGGGATTGACGGCCAGGAAGGTTTTGCTGTGTGTTTGGTCGGATTGGAAGGGAATCATCCACTATGAGCTGCTCCCATATGGCCAGACGCTTAATTCTACCATCTACTGCGAACAACTGGACCGCTTGAAGCAGGCGATCGACCAGAAGCGTCCAGAATTGGCCAACAGGAAGGGTGTAGTGTTCCACCAGGACAACGCCAGACCACACACTTCGTTGATGACTCGTCAGAAGCTACGGGAGCTCGGATGGGAGGTTTTATCGCATCCACCATATAGCCCGGACGTAGCGCCAAGTGATTACCACCTGTTCCTGTCCATGGCGAATGCCCTTGGTGGTGTGAAGTTGAACTCAAAAGAGGCTTGTGAAAAGTGGCTGTCCGAATTCTTCGCAAATAAGGAGGGGGGCTTCTACGAGGAAGGTATTATGAAGTTGCCGTCTAGATGGAAACAGATCCTCGAACAAAACGGCGCATATTTTAACTAAATCCGATCACTGTAACACTTTTTATAAAGCATTGAATGAAAAGCAAAAAAGCGGAAAGGAGATATTTGACAACCTTAATATATATATTGTATATTTTTTTTTTTTGGGGTTATAAATAAATTAATATAAAGTTTTGAAAAATATATCTAGCAGGTATATATATTGAATAGAAAAAATAATTAGATATTTTATTTAAACAACCTCGTCCCACTGCAATTCATCAAACATAGAAACGTTACCTCATAAATGATAGAGTGTGCGATCTAGCCGTGAGTGAATGAGCGATCTTGCCGATTCCAACAAATGGTCATTTGAATATAGAAATATATTTTGTTACTAGATTAGTTATTAGATTGCAGCTGAGCATCAGTAGTGGAAGAGAGAGATCCACCAAAATTTATACCGATCGGTTCGTAACGAAGAGCTAAGTTGATTTAGCCATGCCCAGCCCGGCTGACAGATCAATCTAAATTTGCGTAGGTTTTTCTCTCCTTCTTCTGGAATTGACATACCTCTGACCAGAGTAAATATACCATTTCATGTACAAGAAGGGTATAAAAAAGAAATAATAATAATGGTTAAAGAAATCGCAAAGTGTTTCCAAATTCTCATACAGAAGTATTAGATTTGCTTTCTTCACCATTTACCTTTCTCTGTTTATTAATTTCTTTTTCTTTGATCGAAAGGTTTAAATTGATATTTATAGTTTCTTTGTTAAATTTCATTTTTAATTAATATACATTTTTTCGTCTGTTTTTTTTTCTTTTTTCTTATGTTTGCCAAGTATAAGCAGAGATGAAAAAATTTCTCTTTTGACTCCTTCTAGAAATTAACATTTGTATTTGGACTTATTTATTGGTTTTCGCAAAGAGAAGAAATTGGTGTCAATGTTGGGAGTATGAATATATATGTAAATATTTATGAATCGTAGAAAATTTGGTAAGTTAGTAGTGGGATTATTAAGAATTGAATATTTTGTGAGGCACCTTTATTTCCTTCGGTTAAAAGTATGGGGTTTCTTCATTGAAAGATTAAAAAACACACTCTAAAAGCCTACTAAGATATCGATCAGATCCACATCCATTGTTTTTGGACTAAGCCCGTTGCCCGCTTGGTTTTAGGCTACATAAATTCACGGCTCTTATAGTTAAAAAATGAAATGATAATAAAATAGCTAACAACAAAAAAGAGAGTATGGTATTTATTTCTCCTTCATTGGTTAGGAATCAAGATTATTGGCGAGTTAACAACAGAAAGTCAGTAATTTCTTCTTTTCTTGCGTTGTAAGTTCTGCTTCAGGGCATGCAGCCAAAGTCGAAAGGTTATACCTAACTCCTATTATTGTGCCCTCGTCGCACAACCTGGAGATATGAGCAACCCTTGTGCAAGCTGCGGTAATAAGCCGATCAGGAGACTCGGAACACGATTAAAAGAGAGAGAGTTTTAGTAGAGGCATTCCGACATATTCGGCTGAAGAGTTCACTGAAGTCGAACTGTAGCATTCGTTCATCAAAGGTGCGGCTACGAGCATCGGCATCGGTCTTAAAGCAATAAGCTCGGTATACAAATGTTATTTACCTGATGACAAAAACGGGGTTATATCGCCGAAAGGGTGACAGGACTTGACTGAATAAAACCCGGGTAAGCTCCGGCGACTGCGTTAGCCGAGTAGTTGGTATTGCGTACTGCCATTCGGAAGGCTCGGGTTCAAATCCTGATGTCGTACTAACAACCAAAAAGTTAAAGAAAATTAATTTGAATAAAAAATTAAGTTAAATTTTTTTTATAGCGGTCGCCCCTCGGCAGAGAATGTCAACCACTCCGAGGCAACCATCAGCCACGTCAGCCGTTCGGAGGCGGCTTGGTATCAACAGTAGGTCCTCCATTTGTTGGAAAAATAATCAGAATTGTCATAGAATACTTAACGTGATGGCTAAACAGTTCCCTCTCAAGACAGTATCAGTGTCTAGACATAATAATAAGCCGGCTAAAAAGATAGCGGCTTTTATAGTCGAATAGTTAGTATTGTGTACTGATGTTTTGAAGATCAGGGTTCGAGTGTTGCTCCGACTACCCCTGCGGGTTAGGGGCTCAAGAATTTACCCGCGGTAAGGCATGCCTGTCGTAAGAGGCGACTAAAGTCCAATAGTTCCTGCGACAGTCGGGTCTTCATACCGGAACGACCCGAATTTTTATCCGGCCAAGGACTGTCACTTCCGCAACATTCCCCAAAAAGTACTTTGGGGAATAATTTTGCGGTTACAACAACAACAACAACAACAACAACAACAGTGCTGCTCCGACCAATATCTAAAAATTGTAGAAAATTAATTTTTCCAATTGTGATCGCCGCGAGGCAGGGAATGTCAATCTTCTTGAGTATATTTCCGACATAAAATTAAAAGCTCTTCGTAAAAATCCATCGGCCGTTCGACGGCGGCTTAGAATAAACTGTAGAGCTCAATGGTTACAAAACGCCAATATTATATTTATAATACGAAGGCGGGCACTTCCAATTTCCGCATGATAAATGATGCTGTGCCCGTGTTCTAGCGGTTCTCGTGTGCATGCTCACTATAAGAGAGTTTTTGATTAAAGATGATACTCAAGTTGGAACAGTCTCAATCATTGCAATGCGACCAGTACAATATTACCAAAATGGAATAAAAAGCCCACTTCCTTTACGTTGAAGCCTTTAGGGCCGAAAACCCTTACGAAACTTCAGCGAATTACATCGATTGCTCAGTAAACGGCACGCATTAGTTTGACCAGTGTCTGGAGCTTTTTGAGACTCTCAATGGTAACACAATAGATCCGTTTGGTGGCTTAAGTTAGCTGATACAACCAAGAAGAACTTCCTCAAACTCCCAATTTTCAATACTTTTTTTGATCACGAATTACCTAAATCTCAAGTTAACAACACGCTGCGCTACCAGCAAACTATATCCGCATTTGTACGTGATTTTCAATTTGTTGTATCGTGCTGTGAAATGAGCCACTCCCCAAGGCGCCCAGTTAGAAGAGTGATTTGTTTTCATTTCTCAAAAAGTAAAGAGTTTTCTGCAAATTATTAAAACACGTTTTCGATGTTTGCAAATAACAATACTGAAATACATACATACATATGTATGTATATATATATATATATATATATATACATATATATATGTATGTAGATAGCTAGTTAATGGTTTATTTGGAATTAGAGTATAATCTTTTTGGAATTCGCACATGCAATGTGTTCATAAACGTGGTTAACAAAAAACCAATAAAAAAATGTGGTTAAAATAGGAAAAAATAAATAAAGAAAAAATTAATAATAAAAGAGCAAGTCTTGAGTTACAACTAAAGTAAATGTGCGCATAAATCATATAGACGCGTTTATATTAATAGAAATTTGTATATATGTACATATGTATATGTCCAAACAATGGAACGAAGACCAGACCACAATACAAGACATTATACATACATACATATATGTAAATACACATATTTACTAAACCGAGATTCTTCTTGGGTGAAGTAAGCAAGTGCTGAGGCTGACTTCAAAGATATAAAATTCGCAGTCATACTTTTACATATATCCATATGTATGTATATACTGATTTACATTTATACTCATAATATATGTATGTATAAATGTGTGTTATGTTTGTAGATATAATAAGCACGAATTCCCACTAAAAAATATTTCAACAAACGTCAGCGCCTTTATTCACTGTTCTCTATCATTTACCATTCTTTGCTATATTTTCAATTTTTTTTTTCTTTTTTTTGTTTATTGTTATTTTGCGCTCTTGCTGTTTACTACCTGTTCGTCAGGTTTTTCTTGTTGCGAAAATAACTACGCGCCACATTTCTCTGACGTTCGTGGTATCAGTTGGCTGCTTTGCTCGTATTGCTTTTGTTTTTGTTTCATTTTCCAAACACCTCAAGCAAACATTTGTACAAACGGATATACAGACATATACCTACAAACAAAATATTTGCACTGTAATTTCAAATACTTTTCTGCTTCCTTCATCCTTTCACGCAAATTCGCAATCAAAATTCGCTATTTTACATTTTCAGAAAAAAATCGAAATTCAAAAAAAAAATCAATAAATTTTAAACAACATAAAAATAGTTTAATTTATAAATAAATTCACCTTAGTATTCACTGTGTTACTGCGATATTTTCGTAACTCGTTTACTTAAAACTACTCTTAATGTATGTATGTATGGATCTGTACCAATGCGAATATGTCCAAAACCGTGTGCCAATGGCATTTGCCACCAGAAAATGCGATTAAAGCAGAAAAACACCGCAATTGGTGTACAATATAAACCGAATTTGTTTATATCCACTTAACATGCGCATACATAAATATGTATGTATGTGTGTTTGTATTTTGTATGAATTTACTTGTACATATGTATGCAAGTACACTTTATATAAAACTCGCTTTTTGACTTTTGCCTTTTTTTGTTGTTGATGACTTTTGAACGTTTCGCACTCGCGTTACTCCACTTGCACTCTTTCAAAATGCACGAAATGCGCGAAGCCAGAAAAATTGCAAACTCTGAATTTTCTTTTTCGCTAGAATTACGGATTTCCGCACTAAAAAGTCATAAAATGTATGGCATTTCTTTCTCCTTCCAACACGTTTTTTCTTCTTTCTTTTCCAAAGAAATAATATAAATTTTCACACTAATTTACACACACAATCATCCGCTTAAAACGTGCAAACATGCCGAAGACTTTTTATAAACTGAACTCAGGTGAGCGCTCACAGTTTGGCTTGAAGCGTGTGGGTAGCGATCGCATTTGCTTTGGAGTGATAATTTGTTGCTTAAACCGAAGAATACTTACAAACACAGATGAGCCTTTAAACGTACACAGTCTCTCTGAGTAAACCATATTTTTAATTTATATCGAATGTAACGTTTTAAAAGTAATAATTAATTCAAAAATATTTCATTTATTCCGAGATAAAAATTAAAAACTATTAAAATCATTAGCAGATCAAAATTTTTTATTTTTTATTTACATATTTATACTATACGTTTCGGCCTAAAGTTCTTCTCCCATTTTCTTTTTATAAGCCGGTCTCTGCTTTGAATATTTTGAGTGATATTTGTATTTCTTTTTGAGTAAAACTCAAAATTATATAAACGGTTTGCTTAGAACACAGCCGGAAGTGTAGAACTCCGAATCTTATATTGAATTTATTCACTTTTGATTAATCACCGAGGCCAAGCCACAGTCCCAATTAACGATGCAGCTGATGGACGTTTCGGTTCGGACAACGCAATTTTGACATCCCATTATTAGATTATACTTTTTGACATTTCTCACCAAACAGAACTAATGCCTATGACTAGAAGCTAAACAGTTTTTACCACCAAAGAACTTTTTTTTGGAGGGCTAAGCCGATATTACTAGTGTCCCACGATTTGAGATATTAGTCTATGGATACCAGTTATAGGATATTTCCGCTTGACTGAGGCCTTATCGAAACAAAACTGCTTTCCTTGTGTCCACATTGTTTCTTACTAAATTCTTATATTATTTTAGGTCTCAACTTTCAGACAAATCCACCTAATAGCTTCACTTATCACTTAACATCATAAGAGCGTAAAGAGCTCAAAAACCTTAACAGGATTGGAGGATTCGAATCCTCCTGTCAAAGCTGCATGATTGCTAGGTCTTTTAATCTCCGTCTAGCTATCGCTTGTCACTCCAACTATAAGTGAACTTATGCCTTAATACTTTAATTCGCAAAAACGGCATTTCCTGTATTAGGTTCTGTTATAATTTTTAGTTGCTTGTGTTAAACAAAGTCATTTTATATTCATCTTCATAATCAGTACCTGATTCCGGATTTCCGGAAGCTTAAACATAATATGAACCATCAGTTTCCTTTTTCATATCTTTTAGAATAAATTCATCAAAAACGTCATCGTTCCATTTTCTTTCCGACTATTAGCAGAATTAATTTACGAAATTTATAATTATCAATCAAGTAATCAAAATTTGATGCCTAGAATGCAGAAATTCTATAAATAATTAAACAAATAAATTCATTTTACTAGGTTATTATCTCCTTTGTTGTAATTCGTCAAGTTATTGGCAGCACTGACAGTTTGACGCAACACTGCATTGAATGGCAGCACTTCTGCTTTCGGCCAACTGCTGTACGAAATTGAACGAAGCATTTCAAACGGTCGTTTCGAATTGAGCCGATTGGAGTAAATATCAGCGGAATTATTACGATTATATTCTTGTGTTCTTTGTGTATTTGATAAGTGCTATTTATTGTATTTTTGTGTGCATAAAGACATTACAATGAATACTTCGGCAGGCACAAGTAACTCAACGGGACATCAGTCATCACGTAAAACAAATCAAAATATACAAGTTTATGTGCGTGTAAGGTGAGTGTGTTCATCAAGCAAACATTTTCCATTGTTTTTCTACAAATAAATATCCTTTTGTAATTTTGACATTTTCGTTAAGGCCCTTAAATGCTCGAGAGCGCTGTATACGTTCTGCGGAAGTAATTGAAGCTGTTTCTCCACGCGAAATAGTGACAAGACATACGTTGGAATCTAAGTTGACAAAGAAGTTTACATTCGATCGCGTTTTTGGTACAGATTCACGCCAGGCTGATGTATACAGTACCGTCGTTGCGCCTCTCATAGAAGAGGTACTTTCCGGCTATAATTGCACTGTATTTGCTTATGGGCAAACAGGTACGGGGAAAACACACACAATGGTTGGTACGGAATGCGCGGAGTTGAAGTCATCTTGGGAAGACGTGAGTATAATATGATGTGTGCATAATTATAAAAGGGTTTCTAATTGGTTTTACCTGTTATTCCAATAAGATAGTAGGTACAAAACCAGTTCGTAATAGAAGCCAAAGCGAGTGGCACTGAAAAAATCATTTGAATTTAAATTTACTACCTGAGTTTAATTAAGCTCGTTGCACAATATATACATGTATGTGTGCTACGTTTGTATAAATAAAGCTAACATGAATCATATTACTTCTAACAGGATTCGGATATTGGTATTATACCCCGAGCTTTAAGCCATCTCTTCGATGAATTGCGTATGCTGGAAATGGAATTCTCAATGCGTATATCTTATTTGGAACTGTATAATGAAGAGTTGTGCGATTTACTTTCATCAGATGATAGTGTCAAAATACGCATCTTTGACGATAGCACAAAAAAAGGTTCGGTTATTATACAAGGCTTAGAGGAAATACCGGTACATAGTAAGGATGATGTATATAAATTGCTGGAGAAGGGAAAAGAGCGCAGAAAAACCGCAACAACATTAATGAATGCTCAATCCTCACGTTCACATACTGTGTTCTCCATCCTAGTGCATATACGTGAAAATGGCATAGACGGTGAAGAAATGTTGAAAATTGGAAAATTAAATTTAGTAGATTTGGCGGGTAGTGAAAACGTTACAAAAGCAGGCAATGAAAAAGGTATACGTGCAAGAGAAACAGTAAATATAAATCAGAGTTTGTTGACACTAGGTCGTGTCATCACCGCTTTGGTGGAACGTACACCACATATACCTTATCGCGAATCAAAACTAACACGCTTGCTGCAGGAGTCATTGGGTAAGCATAAATTATGTGAAACAATAAATTAAAATTTAATATTTAATTGCATTCCGTTTTATTAGGTGGTCGTACGAAAACATCTATAATTGCTACAATCTCTCCTGGGCACAAGGATATTGAGGAAACATTAAGTACATTAGAATATGCACATCGTGCCAAGAATATACAAAACAAACCCGAAGTTAACCAAAAACTTACCAAGAAAACTGTGCTTAAAGAGTACACGGAGGAGATCGATAAATTGAAGCGTGATTTGATGGCAGCAAGAGATAAAAACGGTATTTACTTAGCCGAAGATACCTACAATGAAATGACATTAAAAATGGATTCACAGCATCGTGAACTAAACGAAAAAATGTTATTGCTCAAGGCGCTAAAGGATGAGCTGCAAAATAAAGAACGTATCTTTAATGAAGTCAGCTTAAATTTGGTGGAAAAAACTGAAGAGCTCAAGCGTACTGAGCAGAATTTGACGCAGACACAGGGCGCATTGCAACAGACCAAGAGGGTAATTTATATTATATATTTGTTTTATGTCTTTTTTAAATTTTGTACATTTAAAGATACTTAATTGCACAAAGCGACGCTATAAGGAAAAGAAAGTATTACTGCAATCACATATGAAAACAGAGGAAGTGTTAACAAATCAAGCTTTGGAAATATTGGATGTTGCTGATATTGCTACAAAAGATACACATCAGTTACATGTAAATTGAACTTAAAAAAATGCCTAAAAGAATTCTTTACATTAAACTTTATTGTTTCAGAGTACAATTGAGCGCAGAAAGGATGTGGATGTAAAAATTCAAACTGCTTGCGAACGTTTCGCTGAACGCATGCGCGATAACTTCAATTCAATGGATAATAGCTTAAGCAATATGCAAGAACAACAGCAATCTTATACCAATTTGCTTTTAGAGGAATTCAGTAAGAAATTTTTGAAATAAAAAAATAAGCTTATGATAAAATAACATCTATTTCCGAACTTACAGCAAGCACTGCCACTGTGCACAAGAAGCTAATAGGTGATAGCGACAAGAAAATTCAAAATGTCAATGATATATGCAAAGAATCGCTTTCATCGACATGCACCATCATTGAAAAATGCACAGAAGCACTTACTGATGCCAGTAGTGAACAAAAAAACGCTTTAACGAATTTGTTTCGGGAGCTGGAAAATAAACAAATCGAATTAATTGCACAAATGCATGAGAAAGTAAAAGATTTAGTTAAGTTTACAGAACAACAGAAAGCAACAACTGAGAAAATGCAAAAAACCTTGGTGGAAAGCCTCCAAGAGAAGTCAAGAAATCTACAAACGCATACCAGCAACATAACTGAACGCCTTGCAGCAATCAAACAAATTTCTAACAACAGTTTAGAACAATTGGCGCAAATGCATGTCGAGGTAGCGAATGAGCGTACTATCGCTGCCGAAGAACGCACAATTTTGGAAGATATTATGGGAAAATTGAGCACTCTAAAAGATAAATCGTATGCAAACAGAAAAACACGTTTAGACACACTTAACAATTTAACTAACAAAGTGGAGGAAAATACACAAGCGACTGTTGAACGCTTACAACAAAATGCGACTATATCGCAAGAGTTCTGTGAAGAAAGTTGCAATAATAACATTTACATGCAAAAGCAATCTGAAGAACACACTGTTGTTGCTTTGGAATGTTGTGAGAAGCAGGCGAATGCGCAGATAACACTAAAACAGCAACTTGACAACATGCAAAAGGATAGTGGCGAACAAGTTAGTGCACTAACAGCTACCGCTGCTAACCACGCAGAGTTTACGCATAAAGCGTTGGCAGAGCATGTGGATGAAGTGAAGCGTGCACGTCTGGAGAACGAAGTGAATATTGACGAAGCTACTGGTAATGTTAAAAAATGTCTCGCCGAAGATTCTCTGCGCTTCAAGCAACATATCGAAGTTTCTAACGGTTTAACCAACTCATTACAAGAAAACATACTCAGCTATGCCAACACTTATCACGATCAGATGGAAACCTGTGTAAATGTTGTTGAAAACTTTAGACAGAGCGAGCTGAAGACATATGCGCCAACAGGTTAATATTTTTTATTTCTTATTTTTAATAATATATTCGTTCTTAACGCCAATTAAAAAAAATTATTTTATGATGCTTTTAAACAAGATTTAAAAATCTAAAGTTTTGCTTTAAATTGCAGGTGCTACACCTTCAAAGCGCAACTTTGTTTATCCTCGGACGCTGGTGTCGACATCGCCTCACATTGATATCGTTAAACGGTTCCGGCAGGAGAACGATTGGTCTGATTTGGATACAACAGCGCCTATTGATGAGGTATGAAAAAACAATACTTTATATTTATATTTACGTATTTTTTTTTATTGAATTTTTTTAAATTTATGCCGCTATTTTAACATTTTAATTTCTCTTTTATATATTTTGTTTATTAATTTTTTATATTTATTTTGTATATTTATTTACTTATATTTATTTTTATAATCATTTCTTTATTATTGTTTCTTTTAATTATTAATCTATTATTATTAATATTTTATATTATTTTAGATAGTCTTTAGTTAATTTTATTTTATTTATTTTTATATCAGATTTTAATCTAATTTTATATATATCCTTTTTTTATGGTAATTTAATAATTATTATTTTTTTAAACTTATTATTATTAAATTTATATAATAATTTATTTATATTTTTGTATTAATTTATGATTTATTTTTTTATATCAATTTATAATTTTTTTATTAATATATTTAGTTTAAATTTAATTTATAAATTTTTTTTTCAATATTAATTTTTTATAGTCTTTTATAATTATTTCTTTATTATGGTTTCTTATAATTATTAATTTATTGTATTATTAGTAATATTTTATATTAGCTTAGAATTTTTTTTGGTTGATATTAATTTTTTATATAATAAAATAATTTTAATATTAATTTTTTATTTTATTACATATTATATTAATTTAGATTTCTTTTTGTTGGATTTTAAATTATTATTTTTTTGTATTAGTTTATTATTCAATTATCTATATTTATTTATTATTTATTTTCTATATAAATTCAACAGAAAATTTTTCATTTATTTCATGATTTTTTTTTCATTTTTTGTTCACTTTATTTTTAGGGCAGCGAAGATGAGCACGAACTCAAAACCTCTGTGCAGGAAATTACGAACACTGAAATAATGTTGAATTCAACACCAATTGATTTAACAAATGTTGCTACACCACAACAAAGTCAAGCCGCTACAAAAAGATTGACTGCTATTTTGTCCAAAAAACAATTGCGCAATAGTAACTCATTAACAAGTGGCATTTCGCCGAGTAAAACGTCCTCTTCGCATAATTCTTCGGCGCCCGTCGTTCGTGTGAGTACTCAAAAAGCAGAATACAAAGTTTTTGTTAAACTAAATATAATTTATTTTCCCATTTGCAGTCCAACAAGGAGAATATCGCTTAAACGGAACTTGTCGTCTGAGTGCAACTCTAGGCTTTACTACTCTACATTAAATAAGTATTTATATTCGTTCCTTTCGTTTATATTAGATAGCTGTATATTAATTTTTAAACAAAATTGTCAACACACCATGCTGAAGGTATACTTTTAACGGAGGTTTCAGCTACACAATTAAAAGCTCTTAATATTGTCGCAATCATTTTTTTTTTTAACAGACAAATTTAATTTTGCTTAAAAAACTGCGTGTAACCTGAAAAGTTTGCATGCAGAATAATAAAAATGTGTAATTAAAACGAAAAAAGAAAAGAAATTGGTAGCTGTAATCTGCTTTAATACCTTCGTTATGTTATTTTCCCTTTAAGTCGCTATTGAATGTGCTTGTAAGATTCAATTTTATTTTATAATTCTATACAACTTGATTTTATGTTTATTTTAAAATGTATACAATGCTAAATTACTTCACTTTAAATTCATCTTTTTGTGTGTGTAAATATTTTGCTTGTGCTTTGTGCATCGTTCGCTAATTTATAAATAACGAAAATCATAAATAAAATAAATTTTACTACCACAAAGCAAACTCTCATTCTAATCATCATCTTCTTCATCCTTCAAAATGCCCAAACGGCGCGCCACTTCCTTAACATTCGAAATGAATTCCTCCTGCACGAGATTGAAGCTCATGGCTAGCAGCGCAATGCCGAAGAGTAAGTATAAGGAACAGTAAGCAATGGACTGCTCCGATTCGTCCTTGACACCTTTCGCTGGCACAAAGTCACCGAAACCTAAAAATATGCTCGATATTAATAGAAAATTCACTTTCTACATGGATGGAATTCAACAAGCAACCCACCAATTGTGGTTAAAGTTATGAAACAAAAGTAGGCTGAGTCCAAGAATGACCATTTCTCCCAGTAGGCAAAAAGTGCTGCGCCGCCCAAAATATAACTGATTACCAAAAAGACGCACAACCAAATGGGCACCGGACGGTCTTTGGGTGAGATGTCGCCATAATAATCGCTCCAATCATCGCCATAGCAAGAGTCGTCATCATAATCATAGCTGGGACGGCGACGCACTTGCCGCTTCACGGGGAAACCCATCGGTGACATTATGCGCGGTGAAGGCGGTAGACGTTCTACGAAATATGACAGCGGAAATGGTATTTAGTATAACGAAAAACTCAAAAAATTCTTTAAACCTACCGGCACGCTCTCTCCTGTAACGTCTATCTCTGTGACGTGGCTGATAGGCCTGCTCACGATTGTCGTACTCATCGAACACATCGTCCAAATAGTAATCATCGAAATCTTCGTCATAATCGTCGATGGGCGCCGGTGAGCGTCCACGTTTTGGATGGTTCATACGTGGTGAACCGAAATCGGGTAATTCCAAGCGATCGCCATAATGCGAATGATGTCCGCCGGAGTGATGTCGATGTGGCGGCGGCGTTGCTGGCTGTGGTGACGCAAGACGCGGTTGATTGTGATGTGAGTGATATGAACTAACACCATTGCTGTGCTGTGCGTTGTAACCACTGCTTTTGAGTAGAGCCGAACGCGGCATTGACTGACTCCGTGGCATGTGCTTACCACGATAATCGCGTGACTCAATGCGATTGTGATCGAGCTCATCAATGGCATAACGATTGGGTATGATTGGTGTCTTACGTACAACTTCCTCGTCGACAGCATCCTCGTAATGCAGACGTGGATCAACAGATTTGGCACGTGTTGTGGGCGGCGCTTGCGGTACTGAGCGACCGCGTTGCATGGTACGTGGATTCATTCTGTTGAACTCACGCATTTCGCGTGACTCGCGTGGAGGTTCACGCATATCACGCATTTCTCTGGCCTGCACCTGCGGTGGTGGTGCAACATCACGCCGTGCGCTTGACGCACGCACAGAGCGCATGCTGTACGTGCGTTTCGAATGCGACGGTGGCGGCAAGTTGTGTAGATCCTCAAAGGAACCCAATCGGCTTGAATGACCGAGGTAGCGCTCTCGTTCGACAGTGTGGCGACCGCGTATGCTCTCCCGATTTCGTATGCTGCGTCCGAATTTTGAACCTCGATTCAGAGTTTGTGTATATCGCGGTCCTTCATCATAATACTGTTGTTGCTCATACTGATAAGGTGGTATTTGGCCTCGACGCTGTGAGCTACTATTGTGTTGGTGACGTCTGCCACTATTGCGTCCGCCCTCATAATCATACCGTCCGCCTCGTAATTCTGGATCTGAGTATGCATGTGGTAGGCCTACAGAGTTGCCAAAACCAGAATCGGCCATTGAACGCTGAGTTAGACGCATCGAGCGTCGAATGGGTGGCGGTTGCGAGCGTGATGTATACCGTTGGCTGCGGCCGCGTTGTCGCGGTCTACGTGGACGACGTGCTGCGCGCGTGCAAACATAGCAGCAGACTCGCCAATATATAAATCTTTGTTGGTGGAGGCAATTATTGAATATATATACATTTTTACGCTGTCTACTCACCTAAATGAAGTCGCCATAACATCACCGATATTGGAAAGACAAAGCAACATCAGCGGGATGCCCACAATTGCATAGAAAATGGTCGTTACTTTACCCCAGTCCGTGCGTGGTGATATGTGTCCATAACCTGAAAAGAAAAAATCCAAAAATCTATGAAAGATGGCTCAAAGGTGCTCTTTAGAAACACATCTTGGGGATTTAATTTTATAAGAGTTAGGACTAGACGCTGATTTTATTTACTAGAATTTTAAATATGTTTGTATATTTCATCATGGCTCCATATTGGATGGGTTATAATGTCGACTCGGCTGTGCCTGGATTAAAGGATATAGCATCAATTCAATCCGGAAGGTCAAAAAACCTTCTATAGATGATGCTCTGTCCATGGATTGAGGAGTTCATATCCTTGCAGCTCTTGGTACACAAGCCGCGACGACCGGAAACTTACATATGAATTATGTAAATACGACGACGTGGACTAACTAAAGTATAAACATTGACTCCTACTCAGTGTAGATTGAAAGACAGTCTACGCCAGTATTATAATCCTATTCATATTAACTACAATCATCACTGCACGCAACGGAATAAGCTAGAAGAGGTTTACAATAATCAATGGCCTCACTCTTTTCGTCGAATCTGCGTATTTGAGACCGGTACATGCCTAAGTATAGAGCTTGTTTGCTGCTTGTCTGTATTAATTCATCATTTATAATTCGTAAGTTACATATTTAAGTATATTTTTGTATATTTGGCAATGTTTAATAAGTAATTGCAAACAAAATACCCAGCAAAGTAATGGGAAGGTGTTGCAACAGTGTACATACGAGGACCGATCCAAAAGCTCGCAGGAAATCGGTCACCTATCTTCTCCATAACTACTCACTTAAATTAGGTAGCAGCTGAAACCCACTAAGCGCAAGATCTTGACCATAAAGGGAATGTAACAGCGACTAGAAAATATTTATGTTAAGCGTGAATGCAACCCTGCTTTTGTGAACCAAACAAGGAAACTAAATTTCCTTCATGACAACCTTCAGTTTATCTACAATAATGATTATGGTAATACCTCTCTCGGACGCGATAGCCGAGTGGTTAACATCGCGTACTGATATTCGGAAGGCTCGGGTTCATATCCCGGTGCCACCAACATCTAAAAGATATGGAAAATTAAGTTAAATTTTCTGATTGCGGTCGCCTTTCGGTAGGGAATGTCTACCCTTCCAAGGGTATTTCGGACATGAAATAAGATAAGAAAATCTCCGGCGCTTCGAAGGCGGCTTAGTACGAAGTGTAGGTCCCCTCATTTGTTGGAAAAACATCAAGACGCAAAACCACAAATTAGAGGAGAAGCTCGACCGAAAATACAGAGCGCCAATTATATACATATATAAAATACCTCTCTCTTTAAAATAGGTAATAATAGTCTCTCTTGATCCCAAAATTCAGGGACAAATAGTTATTTTTTTGCCAATTTCTTTTATAACTCAAAAACAAAGTGAAAAGTCAATTCTATCATCCTCCTCTACAAAAACTATGCAGATCATCGATACTCGAGGCGCATCAAAGCGTTGCTTCATTTGAGACGATGGAAGCATTCTGTGTTCTGTTTTCTCGGCAGAGATACGTGGTTACCTCGAAGGGTGGCCTAGAGCGGAGGTAAATTTCGTCTTAACTTATCTAAAAGTCGTCTATATCGAAAAGACACTAAAATATTAACGAAGTAACCCTTGTTAGTAGCCCAATACCACTAAGACATCATCCGATCCCATTCATACCAATGATCTTTTAGAGCTTCCCTCGTGCATATGCGCATACTCACTTATACATACATACTTGTGTACATATTCATATGTGACAACAACATGCCAACCTCACGATGCCATTGAAAATTGGTCAACCAACTGTAACGCATTGAGCAAGGCTTCCGTCCCAATGACCACACCGCACAGACGCATCTTTCATTAAACTCATTGTTGTTGTCAAGTCTTTATTCATTTCGTGCAATTATGGATTTTGTGATTTTTTAATGTATGTATACCATATGATGATATGATACATTTGCACATATGTATGTATGTGTATACATATGCGTTTCTTTACCGTAATTCGAAGGAATGAGTAACTCAGAATTTGCGGTTTGCCAATTGTACATAAACCTTCTATATATTGAATGACACACTTTCGATTCCATTGCTGGATTTGCCATTTTACCAAGCGACAAGCAAGCCATCAAGCAAAAGCGCAGGAAATGTGAATCAAACTGACAACAATAAAGTTGTTATTATATATATTTGTATTTGAAGTTGTCATTAGACAATTCTTTTAAGTGATTTCACACATTTATTTTTATTTTAATCCAATTTCTTAAAAATTGACAAAAAGAAAATAATAAAATACATTAAAATAAAAAAAAAAAAAATCAATTGAAACAAATTTATTTAGAGAATTACTAAAAATTTATTTTTTTTAAATGAAAAAAAAAATACTCAAATCATATTAATTAAGTATAGATAAATAAAAAAAAAGTACATAAAATAAAAAAATTAAATAAATCAAATAAATTGAATGCATTAAAAAAACAGAATTAGCTTAAAAATTTATGAATTAAAAAACTAAAATTATATAACCTAAAATGGAAAATATGAAAAAAACTCAAATCATTTTAAATAAGCGTAAATTAAAGATAAATTAAATTAAATAAAAACATTAAATAATAATATTAAATAAATCAAATACAATACAATATTAAAAAAAATACTGTTAAATTAAGAAATTAAATTAAAATTATAAGAGCTTAAAATATTTTTAAATAATATAAACCAAAACAAATAGAATAAAATCATTTTGAAAAAAATAAATAAAACACTAAAATTAAAAGAAAGAAAAATTAAAATGAATTAAAATTAAATATTTTAAAACAACATAATATATATTGAAATCAAATAGAAAATTTAAAAAAAATAAACAAAACACAGTTGAATTAAATAATATGAAATTAACTATTAAATAAATAATAAATGAAATAAATTAATATAAGGAAAATCTAATTATAAAAAATCTGATCTAATATTAAATAGAATAAAGTAATATTATTCAAATAAAATAATATATATAAAATCAAATGAAATAAAAAAAAATTGAATAAAACAACGTTAAATGATATATTATATAGTATTATATTAAATAAAATAAAATAAAATAATGTTAAATAAAGTATAACAAATAACATAAAAAAACTTTAATAAATAAATATAAAATAAAACACAATAAAATAAAATTAATAAAAATAAAATAAAATAAAATAAAATAAATCAAATAAAATAAAATCAATTAATAATTAAAAAACTAAAACAAAAACAATAAAAAAGTAAAATAATTTATAGTGAAAGAAAACGAAATAAAACTAAACAAAATAGAATAGAACAAAATAAAACAAAATCAAGTGAAATAAAAAAAATTAATTAAAATACAAAAAATTAAATAAAGTTAAATAATATAAAATAAAATATTGTTAAATAATTTATAGTTAATTAAAATGAAATAAAATAAATTAAATTAAAGTCAAATAAAACAAAAGAAAAAAATAAAATTAAAAAAGTAACACATAGTGAAATAAAATAAATTAAAGTAAAATAATAAAATTTAAATTAAAAAAATATAATAAAGTAAACAAAGCGAAATAAAATTAAATAAAATAAAGTAAATTAATATAAATTAAAATAACATTAAATAAATTATATTTAATTAAAATGAAATAAAATAAATTAAATTAAAATCAAATAAAGCAAGAGAAAAAAATTAAATTAAAAAAAATATATTAAAGTGAAACAAAGCGAAATAAAATTAAATAAAATAAAGTAAAATAATATAAATTGAAATAACATTAAATAAATTATAGTTAATTAAAATGAAATAAAATAAATTAAATTAAAGTCAAATAAAACAAAAGAAAAAATTAAATTAAAAAAAATATATTAAAGCGAAACAAAGCGAAATAAAATAAAATAAAATAAAGTAAAATAATATAAACTAAAATAACATTAAATAAATTAGATTTAATAAAAATGAAATAAAATAAATTAAATTAAAATCAAATAAAGCAAGAGAAAGAAATTAAATTATATTACAATGAAAAAAACGAAATAAAATAAAACAAAATCAATAAAAATAAAAAATTAATTCAAATAGAGAAAAATAAATTAAATTAAGCCAAATAAAATGAAATAATATTTTAAGCAATATAAAATATGATTGAATGAAATTAAGTAAGAAAACAAGCAACATAAAATAAAATATATTAAACTAAAATGAAATGAGATAAAATAAAATTGATTAAAAGAAAATAAAACAAAATGAAATCAATTAAGTAACTTAAATAAAATAAATTAAACCAAGGTATATAGAAAAAAATTATTTATAAAATAGAATAAAATTAAATAAAAAAAGACTCAATAAAATAAACTAAAAAGAAATTAAAGTACAATAAATTCAGTAAACTAAAATAAAAAAATAAAAATATTTAAAGAAACGAAATGAAATGAAATGATAGAGAGTTGAATAAAATAAAGCAAAATTAAAATAAAATGAAGCAAAATAAATTCAAATTTAAAAAGTACAATAACAGAAAAAATATGATAAAGTTAAATAAACAATAAAAAAATTAAATTAAATTAAATAAAAAATAAAATTAAAATAAGCATAAATCAATTAAATGAAATTAAAAAATACCTTAAAATAATTAATAATTAATAAAATAATTATTTTATTTATAATAGCATTACATTAAATTAAATTACATAAATCAATGTGAAATAATAGCGAAAAAAAACAAATATATTAAGTAAAGTAAAGTAAAAATAAAAAAGAAAAGATAAAATCAAATAATATAAAAAAATTAAAATAATTAAAAAAATGAATAAAAAAATAAAACAAAAAATATAAATAATATAAAGTTAAACAAAACAATAAAAAAATTTATATAACATAAATTAAAATATAATAATAATTTAAACAGAGTATAAAATTAAATAAATAAAAATATTAAATTAAAATGCATAAAAAGGTACAAAATTAAATAAAACATAAAATGAAATAAATTACAATAAAATGTAACAAATTAAAGGGATATAAATTAAAAAATATAACATAAATAGAAAATTAAAAAAGAATAATTCTTTTTTATATATTTGCATTTTAATAAATAATAATAATTAATTTATTTTAAATTAAAGAAAATGCAAATTTCCAAAAAAAAAATTCATAGTTCAAGGCAATAGAGTTTATTGAGTGCAGGCGCCAATCTACAGTGAACACCAACAAATAAACGATTATTTCTTATCACAAATGTTGTGGTAAATTTATTGGCATTCACCATAATGAGTGTTTTTATTTAAATTGAAGCTATTACCGCACTATCTGCGTAAACTAAAAATAAAAATGTAAATACATACATACATGAGCGTATAGCTAGCATTTCCGCGTGGTGGCCAAATTCATTTGTTTTGATTAGCCGCTTCGGTCAGTAAACTCTGATTTCGGTGTAAATGCAAGAAGCGAAAATTAAATGACAACACATTTTACTAAATTCTAACAACTAATTAATACATATGCGTGTCTACATATATATGTATGTGTCGGCGATATACATATATTTCTGTTTCATGTAAAAAATCTAATTTTGGAAAATTTCAAACGCCTAAAGCTCCAACATACGCTACTGACCTTGCCCAGTGTGGTGATTTTTTTAATGAAATAATTTGAATTTTTTGTATTCAGCGTCAGCTTGGTTATTTTTTGGATTTTATATTATGCATTGGAGCGTGGCATATTTTTGTTTGGCGCTGGATTTTCACTGCCAAAGCAATACGCTCTCATTTATCGTCTCGTCATCACCATCATTCATAACCAAAGTTTGTTTTGAAGGTCGCACACGTGAGAAAAAGTCACTTCCGTTGGAAGGTTTGTTTGTTGCAGCGACAGTGACAAGCAGGTGATGATTGATGTGAAGGGGTCGCTTGGTTTCTCGGCCGATGCCGTATGCCATCATTTCATTTGGAAATACAAAATTCAATACTCTTAGCATTGTGAATCTCGCAGCTAGTAGTAGAAGAGCTGATCGAAGGAGATGATTCTAGCTACTCCTTCAATTTGTGGTGAGGGACTTGCATTCAGAGTCCAATATACCAAGAGAGAATCCGATTATATTCATATACCAGGTACACTGTGTCTCAGAAGAATGACCACTGCGGTTGAGGCGCTTAAGAAATTACACGGGCTAAGGCATCCCTCATGTAAGAAGCGACTAAAATGCAATAGTTTCTGCGACAGTCAAGTCTTTATACCGGATTTTATGCGGCCAAGGACTGTCGCTTCCGCAATATTTCCCGAAAACCCATTTTTGTGAACAAGATAACAAAGAACAACAATAACAATAACCCTATAAAAAGAAGCGTGGACGCAGAACATATTTTCTTGCTTGGACTCTAAGAGTTTTCATATACATAAGGGCGAGTCTTACGGTTCAAAATCTGATTACCTTACAAAAAGTCCTCAATAGTGAGGCTAACTTACGCTCTGGGTTGAATTAAATTATAAAAATAATAAGCTTAAATATGGGAAATATTTTCTACCTGCCCTCACTCCGACAACCTGTAAAAAAATCCCGAAATTTCGGGACTATACATAAATCTCATGGTTGACGGAAGTTTGCGCGGCCCGTCCGACCAGAGTTGAACAATTTGACCAATTTTAGTTAAATCGAAGTTTGAATTCATTATTCATTTGAGCCGCTGTAATCTCGAGATCTTCAAACACACTAAATTATCAACATCGACATTTTCGAAAATACAGATTTAAAAATTTCGCTGCTTTTATTGTGCGCCCAACCACAATTTGATGGTGAGCAAATGGGAATTATGCACTTTGGGCGAGTGTTTGGCATTTACATATGTACATATATACATATCTACATAAAATATTTTCATTGCCAATTCATATTCCATGCACGAAAATTTTTTTGAGAATAACAACAATTAAATTGCACACACACACACACACACACACACACATACATACATATTTAAAGAGGCAAACAAGTGTGTTCTCCTTACCAAAGATCCATTTCAAGCGTTAAATTGTTAATTCTTCGAATGATAAAATTGATTTATTCATACATTTATTGGGCGACAAATGAACGGTGATTAATGATAGCCTAATGCCAGTGACCACCGAACGCGGTCGGCGATGATTACGTTGCATGGGAATACGTCCAACACCCACACCACACGGTGACTGAATGAATGATGCATGTTGGCGATAAAGCGATCAGTGCAACAGCAATCATGATCACCGATTAGAGCGACTTATAATGAAGTTTATGGCTATGGGCGGCTCACACCAATCAGTACACCAAAGAAAGCTAAAGCCGCAAAGAGACGTGCCGTGCCGCCACGTAGTCAAAAATGAGTAATGAAATTTTGGCAATTAACCATAATTTAATTTCGCTTGAAATAAATAATTGAATTGACATTTTTTTAATTTCTATTCGTCAATATTTTCAGGCTACAAATTTTTGTAAAATAATTTTTGCAAAATATTCTAAATAATTTCCTCATAATAAATACCAAAGTGCGCTTGTCTTCTAGTTAAGAATTTTTAATTTTATAATTCCTTACAACTGTCAACCGCTTTTGCCCCTCTCTTTGCTCTTTCCCTCAATAAGCAACGTCACTTGTCTTTTTGTTCTAAGCCATAAAATCAGTGAACATTAACAAGCAATTGCAGGCACGACCATTATCATCATTGCCCTCGTCATCATCATCATCATCATCATCTTCAGCGCTTGTGAATTTACAATAATAAAAATTTTTTATTATTTTTGCTTGCATTTTTCGGCTGTGCCTCTGTTGATGATTATGATGACGCTACAGTTGAACGCTCGTCTGCTTCCAAATTTTTTATTTAAGTAGCGTGTGTCCAACTCATGCCAAATTACTCGCGCAACAACCACCGACGCGATCGAACGCAGTACAAGTGCATACATACATACATATAACGAGGAAAAAGGAAAAAATATTCTTGTTTTTGCGTGGTTAAATTGGCATTAAAAAACACAAAAAATTCGTTTACGTAGAAAAATACAGTAAAATTAAGAAATATATTAAATTATTAAATAAAAAATAAAATAAGAAAAATTAAAATAAAATTAATAAAAAAATAAACCAAGTAAATTAAAAAAATAAAATGCATTAAAAAAATAATAAATTTAACTAAATAAAATTAAATTATATAAAAACCAATTAAAAAAATATAAAACAAAGAAAGAGAAAAGAAAACATAAAGTAAAAATAAATAAAAATAAAAAATAAACAAAATTAAATTAAAAAAATAAAAATCAAATAAGAAAAGTAAAATAAAATTAAGAAAAAAATAACCAAGGAAATAAAAAAAAAACAAATAATAAAATAAACAAATAATAAATTAATTTAAAAAAATTAAATTATAAAAAAATCAACTAAATAAAAATCAAATAAAACAAAGAAAGAGAAAAGAAAACATAAAGTAAAAATAAATAAAAATAAAACATAAAATAAATGAAATTAAAAAAATAAAAATAAAATAAAAATATTAAAATAAAAGTAATTAAAATTAAACAAGTAAATTAAAAAAAGAAATAAATAAAAAAATAACATAAAATAAAAAAACAAATTAATTAAAATAGCATAAAAAATTAAAAACGAAACAAACGAATTAAATAAATATATCAAATTAAAAAAAAATATACTAAAACAAAAAATAAAAATAAAAAATTTAAAAATAAAACAAATTAAACAAAAAAAAAAAATAAAACAAAAAAAAAATAAAACAAAAAAAAAATAAACCAAAAAAAAACAAACATTAAATGAATAAATATCAAGTTGAAATAAAAGAAAATAAAAATAAAATACAAGATAAATAAAAATAAAAAATTTAAAAATAAAATAAATAAAAAAAATTTAATAAAAATGAAAGCTTGAAATAAAATTAATTCAAGTAAAACAAATAAAATAAAAAATAAAATTAATTAAATTAAAATAAAGTAAATAATTTTAAAATAATTTAAATAAAAGAAGAAAATTCAATTTTTAATAAAATAGTTAAAAAACAAAAAAAAATTAAAACTAAAATAAATTAAACTTAAAAATAATAAAAACAATAAAAAAAAACTAATTAAAATAAAAATATTAAATACAAATTCTATTACATTAAAATAAATTATAAATAAAATAAAAAGGTGTTTAAAAAAAATTTTTTTACCCCAACGAGACAGTGAACACGCAATATTTTCGTAAGTGACGGTGAATAAAAATTTAAATTATAATAAAATTTAAAATAAGTATTTTACAACAAAGCGATTAAGATTTATGAAATTAAAATAAGAAAGAATTATTGTTCCTCTGATTAATATAGTTCGTGATTTGAAGTAGCAAAGCTCAACAATATTGCTTTCATCGTCTCGCATTAGTCAATAAAAATTACTGAAAAATTAAATTCAATTGGAAAAAAATTGTGTGCACGGATAGAATTTAAAAAATGAATGTCCTTCAAATAAAAAGATATTTTCAAAATAACTAAAAACGTCACCAACTAACCGTTGACGACTGTTCCAAAAGAAAAACTATTTACTGGTCGCCATTAAACATCTGTGTCGGCGAGAGGAGGCTTATGACTGTTTTCTCCCAGCCCACCTTTTCTCTGCTCTGTTGTTGTTGTTGTTGTAGCAATTCTCCAGCCCCGCTCAGGAGCAGGCATCATCTAACGGATGGTCCAAGAAATGAGCCGTTTCGACGAGTGCAGACCAGAGAGAAAGAGTTGTTAGATGCGTGAGTTTTATGACATGCAAAGCTGTGGTTAGCGTCGTACCTGTTCTCATTGCATGCAAGACATGTCTTGGATATGTCGTGATTAAATCTACATGTGTAGGAATTAAGGCGTCTACAATATCCAGACCTTAATTGTGGCTTTATCACTCGGGTCATTCAAGACAGCTCGAGCTCTTTGTCTGCAACGGTGGTGTTTTGGTTCCGAGAGCTCATGAATATGCTAACGAGCTCTCAAAACACCGTACTCTCCGACAGTTCTTGTCTATGACGCTGAATGGTGACGATATAGTTTGGGACTCTCTTTTTTTGCTGTGTCTGTAGATCCCAACAGCGTAATTTAAAACCTCACGATCGGAGTTGACACGGCAACCTAACCCCATTTAAGTATTCATAGTGCTCTCTTTGACTAAACCTGAAGATGAGAGCATCCTGTAAGACTAACGTTTTAATCGGCCGAAGGACGTTTACTCGCTAATGTAACGGCATTTTGTCATCTTCTTTGCACACTCGGCGCTCAGCCGATTTCACTTGAGGCCGTGTTAACTTAGCGGTAGATCTCCAGCCAACAAGCTCTCTTTTGCTTAAAGCAAGTAATAGTTTGGTCTGTCTTCAATCAACATTGCTCACAATACTTTAGAGGTACGTTCCAGGACTTTAAGCGGCTCTATATGTTGATCCAAGTCCAAACGCTGACCTTCCGAATTACGGTACGCAATGCCAACCACTCGTCTATCGCGTCCGCGGATTAGGATTTACTAATTTTACATCTTTTCTTTTCATAAAGCTCGAATATAAAGAATTTACTAAGTTATGCACTCTCGTCTCCCATTCCAGCAAAGCAAAAAATGAATAGACTACAAATATTTATCGCGCTCTCAGCCGTACTCTGCTGCGTCTGCGCTGTACCGGAAATTGAAGACCATTGGGTTTGGTCCAAACGACGTAACGACGCGTACAGTTCACGCCCACTACATGATAACACAGGCAGATATCCAAGCGCTAATGAACGACGTAATGCACGTGCGCGCGATCGTGAACCCACCACCAGACGACCACTACCAGGACAACCACCAAACGATGAAATCGATGATTATCCAGATGAGGATGTGAATACAAATGTTGGTACACGTAATTTTCCGTATCTACCGTTTGGTAGTAGTCATCTATTCGGCGTAAACTACCCGAGCTTAGGTGGCGGTATAGGTAGCCCAATTGGCAATGGTAATGGCATATTAGTGGGACCTGGTGGTCCAACTGGTGTTATTGGACGCCCACCGCCACAATATCCAAGTGGATTTCCAGCAAACGGCTTCGGGGGCCAACCCGGTGTTGGATTTCCCGCACAATCGGGCATATTTGGCGGAGGTAATGCACTTGGAAATGGCGGTCAGTTCGGACAAGCTGGAACTGGTGGGTATTCAGGTGCAGGAGCTGGCCTAAATCCTGCCTTTGGTGGGCAATTTGGTGGTGTAGGTCAATTTCCAGGCGGTCAAGGTGCTCAATATCCTGGTGGTGGACAATATCCAATTGGTGGACAGTTTGGTGCGGGTGTACAATATCCAGGTTCTTTTGGTACAAGTGGTTCACAGTATCCAGGCGCTCAGTTTCCAGCGGCACAATATCCTGGCGCTAATGGTGGTGGACCGCAATACACAGAGGGTTATGGCTTAGCTGCTAGTGGTTACCCAGGCTATCTACACGCCTCCATAGGGGGTGGACCCTTCGGTTATGATGGTCCATTAAATGATAATGAGAATGCGAATCGAAAACTACAACCTGAGGGCAAGGATACAGTGGTGGTGGAAAGCAGCAAACTGACTAAGCTGCGAGTGGATGATAAAATCAATAAGAGCTTAACCAAAGTACCGCATTGAATGAACTGGAGTATTATTTTTTAGTGGAATAAGTTATGAATTTTGTAGTTTTAATAATAAATTTAGGTTAGAAAAATTGAAAAGAATAAACATTACCACTCACCTATTGTTGTTATCACGATAATCGAATAAAATAGCGAACCCGCAAAGGTCCATTGTGATTTCGTCACGTCCTCATCGCCATCCCAACCATTCGTTTTTATTGCAGTCACTATTTGAGTCTCGAAACCCGCTAAATCCTTCTTCACATTAGCGATCCAATCAATTTGGGAGAGTACGGAGGCATTGTCGGAGAAGCGCCAAATTTTATCGGTCAAATTCAGGCGTAAATTTAGAATATCCCTTTTCACCTGGAAATGTTGAAATTTTAAGAAAATAAGTATACGAAAGGAGACTGAGAAAAAGGGCGGGATGTACGACATAATGCCAAATCTTAAAGGACCATTTGACTACACTAGAGAAGGGATTTAGTGGGAAAGCTATGAGCCGCAAATGAAACATCGCGTAAGTAAAAGCAAAAATGGAGAAAGGAAGAAAAAGAGGTTATAATGGGAAAGCAGCGGGGCATTGGTTCTATAATACCATTGGAGGACACTGGGAAGTACATCTGTAGCTGCGTAAACTTCGATAAAGCCTAAAGACGTTAGTTTACGGCTTGGGCCCCGATGCTTCAGTTCAGCTGCTTTTTTAATAACAAAAAGTGGTGGAGCTCTTTGCGTTCAGTCTTCCAGACTAATATTTTTTCATAAGAGTGATTTGGATGTCTGGTTCCAGACGAATTATTTATAACTGTAGACTCAATAAAACTGTGAAAATAGGGTAGGTCACCTGCGATCGGGTCAGGTGGCCCTCTAGCCACAACAGCAAACTCTGACGTAGTGTCATGATCGCAGGATCCTTCTAGCACGAGGTGGAAACGCACAGTCAAGCTTTGATAGCAGAGGCTCTTCCCCTGAGGGTTAGGGGCTCAGGTATTTACACGTGGTAAGGCTTGCCTGTCATAAGAGGTGAATAAAGTGCAATAGTTCCCGCGACAGTCGGCCCGTACGACCCTTAATTTTATCCAAACCAAAAAAACCAATTCCGGGAATATTTTGCTGTAACAACAGCAACAGCTGAGGCTCTCTTTCTTTCCTTCCTTCCTCTAATTGACTAAGCTTTAAGTATTTAAATTCTCACATCAATACCGTTCCCAGTGAGCTTTCGGGGTTATCTTCGCGGCTTTGGGGAATAATAAAAAGAGATGCCACTCTGTGATTTACAAAGTAAAAGAAACACAAGCGTCGAAGTGGGGCCAACTGCTAGTTCAGCCGCTTACAGCTCGTTAGATGACACTAACACTACACTTAACACACATCCGATCTGAGAACAAATTACACCAAAATGAGAGTTGTTTGCAATCCTAGAAGAGCTTCTTTGAGTTAAGGGTCTGTGGAGAGATCAGTAAACTACACGAGTTTTTATTCCTATCTTCTCTGCAGGTTAGGAAATACAAGATTCTAAGCGAGGTGCGTCTTATCTGTTGTAAGAGACGACAAAAATCTAAGAATTCACGCGTCAGTCGGGGTTTTATACCGTTTTATCCAGCCAAGGACTATCATTTGCACAATATTTTTCGAAACTTGGATATCATTCTGGACTCTCAGACGTGAAAGACGTTGTAGGCTATTCCAGCACAGTTTTTCTCAGATTTGTTGCTGAGAAAAGCTTGATCGATAACTTCGTTTAGGAACAGGAGAAGTTAATCTATGCCATCCACGTCAACTTCCCCAAGGGTGAGTGGTGTCAGAAGGGTTTCAGAGCAACAAAGATGTGGTAGGCTTACGACGAGGACTCATTGCACGCTGAACATACCCCGAGCATGGATTGTTCAAAGAAGTTTGCAGACCCTATTTTTCCTAGTACTACTCAGCCGCTCAGGCCAACAGCTAAAGGTACACAAGTTTTCTATATCTTTTCTTCAATCCGTAACTTGATCCCCGGTCCGAGTTATGTGGTTATGTATGTAAATATTAAAAAAAAATCTTACTCACTTCGATTTCATGCGGCTTTTCGAGATGCTGAAACAGATACGCGCCTCCTACGCAATAGGAGACTACCATTAGCACGAGAATGACATGTGAAACCACACATGAAATTACTTTCCACGAGAAACAAATTGCGGTAACACATTTTCCGCGCGTCGGTTTTTCGTCCAACATATGTGGCGGTAAGGATTGGGCTCGTCGAGATGACATTTTGGCCACAAAGGATTTGATTACACGATTTTCTATTTTTTTTCTTTAATGGTGCATATTTATTATAGACCGTTAAAATTTAATTTATCGTTAAATGAACGTTACGCAGAGCATTTTTTATATAGTTCTTTATTATGTACATACATTTGTACATATGTACAGATGTGGAAAAAGTTTTCAAAACCACTATGGGAGCTACAACAAAAACAATAACAACAGTAAAACTATGAGAAATTCAAAATGTTCCACATATAGGTGCAAGCATACATATGTACACTATTTCGGAGAGATTTCGTTTATTTTAAAATCACACACAATTTCCTACATACATACATATGTTTATAGGCACCACTAGTGTCTGCGGCTAACGAGACACAAAGGAACCGACACAAACGCACATACTAAGTGAATTTTTGTAAGATTTTCTATGGATACACACACGCAATATCGAGAGATTATTGAAAATTTTTTGGAATTCTAAATATTTTAACAATTTTTTGAATTTAATTAATAAATTTTAAATCTCTCGAAATTGCTCTTGGTACATCGTAAGTGTAATTTTATAAGTTACTGTATTTTTATGATTTTTTTTTCTACAATAAATTCAAATTAATGAACGCAAAAATATAATCAGCGCGTTTTTGAACCGTACCCGCCACGTTCTCAGAGAAAACTAATCAGGCCGAATGGCACACACTGAAAAACGCTCTAAATTTTGGAACACTAGCCGAATTTTCGGCTCTACGCTAAGAAAAAGAAATAAACAATATAAATATAATTGAAACAGAAGCAGATTTATTTTACTTCCAACTGTTGGGAAATACCCTTTCAGATTCACTTATTTCATTTGTTGCTATGAAATTAATCACAAATTTTAAAACAATTATACGAGCTAAGTTCATTTAATTTCATTTCCAATTAAATACATTAATTTAAATAAAGAATTGGTAAAAATCTTTGTAGACCATGTGATGCGCCTGTCCGTTTTATTTCTGTAATTTTAAATTCCAACTAATTTCCTAAAAAAAAAAATTTAACACCAAATGCAAATAGTTTTAAATATTTGCGCTGCAAATCAACAGCAAAATAAATTATATTTAAAATGCATCGTTGCTCCAGGATTGAGGTAGTGGATTCGTAGATTTGGCTTATTGATATTTTGAAATAGTAGGCAGGGGCACAAAGTCAACACGCTTGCCAGCATTAATAATTCTTGTGGAACCACCAACAGAGCTGAAGTTAATAAATATATATACATATTTAAATTAACATTTCTATACAATACTCTTACCGCCAAAACAAAGAGCTGCCCCGTTTAAGTTCGCCACGCGCTTGCAAGTCATTCCAACAGTCAACCCAATTTTTGTATTCGGGCATAACTGGTGGGCGACCGGCCATTAAACGTGAACTCGTCACAGACATGCATGTGGAGACCACTTGCAGGGGATACAAAATGCTTGAGAAGGCAAACTAAAATTAAATAAAATAGATGCAATATTTTATAAAACAAATTTGAGAGGTTATGTAAAGTAAATCATACACACCTGTATAAAACCAGCATTATACTGTCTGCCAATTTTGTCTTTAATAAGATATTTGTTTAATACGAACACAGTGGTACTCGTGAGCACTAAACATGCAACATCACAAAGCAATTTGGGAACTAAACCGGCGAAGAAACCTACAACACCATCAGTTTTATAAATCTCTCTGATAGAACCGAAAATTGATTGATATAATGTTTCACGTCCAATGAATTGTGCCATCATACGCAGTGAAATCACATGGAAGGGATGTGAGACAATAATTCCAGACACGCTCAAGACAACATCCCGTTTCAGGTTCACTTTGAATTGTACGTAACTATAAGTAAGAAAAATAAATAATTAACTTTTTTGTCTTTTTTTTTTATCACGCATTTCACCTACAGCTCTTCATCGGTGAGGTCATTGTCGTCTTTATCCTTATCATCGATCGCTGGTAGACCCACCCTGTCAGCAATTTTTTCACTGAAAATCATGCTCATAATTGAACCCACCAGTTTCGGCGCTAGACCACGATAACAGCCATAGAAACCATCCATTTTTCTGATGTATCCAGCTAAATAAAGAAAAAGTAAACAAAGTTGAAAAAAAAATTAATACATTGCGTGACGCAAATCGTTCTTATCTATGGTTGGTTTTGAATTTTTATGTTCAACTTACCATACTGGAAAATATTTGGTAGCACCATTATTGGTTTACCCAATAGTGATGTACCAGGACGTGCTGGTATGGGTTCATAGCCCAGTTGAATAAGCACCTTCGAGTATTCAAATGGGTGTAGTGCAGAGCTTACCGCTAAACGCATTCCAAACCGTATCCATTCGTTTACCTCCCTGTTATCCTCATTATCATTTATGCTCACAAAGGTTGGATCTAACGCTGTCATTATTTAACGATGTATTTGCAAAACTTCTCTATATATTCACGGCAATTTATAACTTCAGAGCGCCTATTTTGATGTTATGGAACCGGCGGCTGCTACAGACTTTTTTCCGAATATTCGTAAAATATTCTTGACAGGTTATGAAAAAACAGTGACAGTAAAAAAAGTCTTGTTCGTTTTAAACGCCCTGTGGAAAAGTTTTCGGAGTAAACACAAAGTAACGGGTGACACAGGGTTTCATTTTTAAAGAAATAAATCTTGGTGATTATATTCAATACATAAATTTTTGCATAAATGATTAATAAATTTTGTATTCGTAAGTATTACAATTAAATTTAAAATAAGTCCATGTGTTCTGGCCGCACAGTTTTCTTTCAGATCAAATATCACTTGTTAGTATCAGCTGATAACGTTTGTTTATGCAACACATATGCACAGACATATTTATTTACATATGTATATACAGTTCGTAATTAAGCCGGTAAAATGAATCGCTACTTGTTAAACATTTCCTACATTGGCACGAATTTCCGGTTAGAATCTTTAGTTAATTTCAACCAATTTTGAACGAATAATGTTCACACTAACATTTTGTTTAATATAGTGGTATACAGAAAACAGTGAATAAAGCTGAGGAAGCTCGCGTGGACACAAAAACCATACAAGGCTGCATTGAGTTGGCCTGTCGTGCCTTGAACCCGACAAACGAGATTGAGACAGTTATATCGAGCCGGTAAGAATTGAATAAATTAGGTTCGAAAAAATGCTTGATATCTATTACATTAAAATTTATTTATAAATACTTCTCTAAAGTGAGGTTAGCATGAGACACTTGACCCAGATTAAACTGCTATTACCTGCTTTTAAAAACATTACTTTATCTATACTGTATCAAAATAATATATTCCACTCTCAATTTCAGCACTGATGCAGGTGTTCATGCATTACACTCAACACTTCATGTTGATCTGGAACGTCGGAACTCTATGCCCTACGATCCAACTACCATAACATGTGTGCTAAATCGTTCACTACATAAAGACACACTTCCCATACGAGTATTGAGCACACAACAAGTGCCGGAAAGCTTCCATTGTCGTTATCATGCTCGTGGCCGTTCATATTTGTATCGTTTTGCGGTGGCCAAAAATGGCATCACGGACACTGATAGGTTAAAAAATCACAATTTTGAAGCATTTCTGCCGGTGGAAGAAATAGATCGTTGCTTTTTCTTGCAGTAAGTTAAAAAAAATAATTCTTTCTCCAGAACCTTAATAATTTATAAATTAACATTTATCACTAATTTCCATTACATTTAGAAATAGCACCTTTGACATTGAACGCCTGCGTGCTGCGTCTGGTATATTTATTGGTCGTCATGATTTTCGCACGTTTATGAGTGTCAGTCGTCAACATAGTCCTACACGCGATCATCCCAATTATACTGTACGTACAATTGATGAAATAAATGTGAGGCCTGGTAAATCTACAGCGATTGGTGCAAATGCAGTTTTGGCAGAAAGTCTCTACAATTATTGGGAGATTGAAATCAAAGCTAAAGCGTTTCTCTACAAACAAGTCAGTGGAAATTAAATATGTATATATATATATAAATAAATTTTTGTTATCTACGGCAGGTTCGACGCATGGTTGGCGCATTACTTGCTCTAGCTACTGGTCGTATTGATGAGCGTGCCATATACGAAATGTTAACAATACCCTCTAAGAACTCTTGGGAACCACGCATTTTACTCTCGCCACCATTTGGACTTTATCTCTGTCGCGTGCATTACGATGAAAAAGATCTAAAACTGCCACAAACGAACTCAAACCAAAAAAATGAGTTTCCTTCAGCAACTACAAACTAAACGTGCGGCTTTAAAAGCCACTACCACCATTGTGACCACAGCTAGTGGCAAACGATTTATAGAAACAAGCGCATCTACCTCAACGCCATTGCAAATACTTGAAGAGCAATCTTATGGTTTTGTTGTGGATACCAAACCGGATACGGTGCCAGCATGCATTTTAAACGATTTCCTTTACTTAGGCTCACAAGATGCCGTTAATTGTGACAACATAAACGCTTATAAGTTAACACATATACTAAGCGTAGGCATTGAGACACCACATTTGGCCAATGAACAAGTGCAAACGAAATTTTTACCCTGTCTCGATTTGCCGGAAACGCCACTTAACGCAATTGCCATACCCACAGCTAATGCATTCATCAATGAAGTGCGTCGCGCTGCTGGACGCGTGTTGGTACACTGCAATGCTGGCGTTTCGCGTGCGGCTAGCATTGTTATTGCATATTTGATATTAGAACTTGGAATGACATTTGATGACGCCTATGGCTTAGTGAAATCGAAACGGCCATGCATACAACCAAATGTAGGATTTATTAAGCAATTAAAGAAATTAAGTATAGCCGAATAAGCCCTAAGCTACATACATAAATGTAATGTAAGTAAATAATTTTTAGCTACATTTAATGTTAGCATAATTAGGAATTTGTGGCAAAAAAGTATGGTATAATTTCATTTTAAATGAAATTGAAAGTTCTAAACCATCTTAAAGTGCAAGGCTTCTCCTTTTTTACTGTTTTTCCTACTAAACTTGCCTAATCAAATTTTCCCTTTTAGGAGATTTCTCTCTGCATCCTTGGAAATAAAACAATTTTCTTCTTCTTTTCTACATTAAGATTTATTGAATTTCATAATTTCCTCTCGCATCTCAAGAGGTACAATAGGATACCAAGCCGACTTGTATCAATCGTTTTCACCACTAACATAGGAATACATAGAATTTATAATATACATACATAAGCGAATATATAGCGTTTAAAATAAATTAAAATAAATGCTTAATTTTTTTTTCTTAAATAAATCTTAAAGATTTTTCTGACTATGTCGAATTGTTGGAACGCCACTTTCTGCATCGCGTTGTTCTGATAGGATATAAATATGTATGTATAAAATGTACATAAGAACAAAATTGTTATGACACACCTATTCACATTAGTAATTGCAGGTAAAGTCAATTTTTTATGCAAAAAATAACATGAAAGAAAAATATAACATTGTGACACACGAAATGAAACAAGATAAAATAGAATAAATTAAAATAAATAGAATAAATTAAGATAAAAAAATTAAAAAAAAAAGTAATAGAATAAGTTCACATAAATAAAGAAATTAAATAAAAAACAATAAAAAAAAATAAAAAATATCAAATACAAAAAATAAAAAAAAAAATAAGAAAAATAAAAAATATATAAAAATAAAAAATAAATAAAATAATATGAAGAAACTATAAAAAATACAAAGAAAGTATAAATAAATATCAAATATAAAATAATATGAAGATATTAAAGAAATAAAAGAAAGATATACTAAAATACAACAAAAAAAAAATTAAAAAAAATAAAAAAAAAAAAAATTAAAAAAAAAATTTAAAAAATAATAAAAAAATAAACATAAAATTGTAAAAATATAAAAAATTATTAAAAAAAATTAAATTAACCCAAATCAAATTTAAAAAATGAAATGAAATAAAATAAAGTAAAATAAAAGAATATAGTTTGATTTAAATTACTTAAAATAAAAGAAAATAACACAAAATAAATTAAAGTTATTAAAAGAAATTGAAAAAATAAGATGTAATAAAAGGAAATAACTTCAAAAAAAATTAAAACTAAATAAATTGGATAAAATTAAATTAAAAAATTTAAAGTAAAATAGTATGAAATAAAATATTATTAAGTTAAATGACAAAAATAAAATTAAATTAAAATGAAGTACTATAAATTAATATAAAACTAAATTAAATGAAGCAAAACCAAAAATATAAAATAAAAATTAAATCATTTAAATTAAAATAAAAAATATTAAAATGAAACAATATGTAATAAAATAGTAAAAGTTAAGTTAAATGAAGTAAAAAAATATTAATTAAAATTAAATAATATAAATTAATATAAAATTGAGTTAAATAGAGTAAAAACCAAAATAAAATAACATAAAATAAATTGAATTAAAATGAAATAATATAAATTAATATAAAATTAAGTTACATAGAGTAAAAAATAAAATAAAAAATAAAAATAAATATTTTAAATTAAAATAAAAATTATTAACATAAAACAATGTGAAATAAAATATTATAAAAGTCAAATGAAAATATGAAATTAAATTGAATGAAGTAAAACCAAAAATACTGTGAAATGAAATAAAATAATTTCAATTAAAATGAAATACTATAAATGAATATAAAATCAAATTAAATGCAGTAAAACAAAAAATAAAAGAAAATAAAATAATTTGAATTAAAATGAGATAATATAAATTAATGTAAAATTAAATTAAATGGAGTAAAACAAAAATAAAAAAAAATAAAAATATAAACAAAAAATTTTATTTCAAAGGGGTTTTTACCGATGCTAAGGGCTAATATACATGCTAAATAGATATGTTACATTAGTAAATCAGAAATATATACAACAAATTTTGAATAAATTAATTTATGCATACATAGCATTGTTAATACATACATATATAGTATGCATGTATGTATGTAGTACATTTACAAAATTGCTAACGAGCCAATTTTGTTTTGTAGAAATTTGCGATTTATGTAAAAAATTCTTAAACAATTTTCGCTTAAAATATCACATTTAAAATTATATTTTCTTATTAAATTAACATTCTTCAATTACATACATATACTAATGTAAATGTTATTATTATAACAGCATTAAATAAATGTTTATCTAAACAAGAAAGTTTTTGGGAAATTGCAGATCCACACAAGGAAGTCTTTTCGATCTCTTCAAATCTGACTGTTGGGCGTAGAAATAGCACCCGCTTATAAAATTCCTCAAATATTTTAGATAAATACTGTTAAAGTCAAAGTCGTTTCCGGCATACACGACGTATATCCGACGTTTTGTTTGACATCTTGGAAGAGCTCAAGATCTTCGTTGGTCACTTTTTACATTGAATTTTATAAAAAAAAAAAACTTCTCTTCAATAGTTGTCCATTTATACTATTTAAATATATGTATGCATGTATTTTTATATATGTATATGTTGTATATGTTGTTTTTATTGCAATACCGTTTAATTCAAAATCAATTTTAAACGACAAGAATTTGGCTTTTGACTACACATACTCGTATATCGGCACTTCACCAAGCAGCTGCCAACTTTTCTTTGATTATGTTACTTGTATTGTGCTAAAATAACCGTTATATGCTTTAGAATCTATGTATTTTGCCTTGCTGGAAGCATAAAGCGTAGAAGCACATTAACTATGTATGTTAGATGAATAGAGTTGAATGGAGTGTATTTTAGCAGCGTTTCCAGAAGAAAAAAAATCCTATCCCTCGTACGTACAATAGGAGCTTTAGACTATAACATATTTACTCGTATGTATGCATGTATATAGTGTGGAAGACTTTTGAAGCCTTTGACAACTAACGTTCGGCCAACACAGACCGTCTTATAAGCTCAGTTGTACCGCCTGTAGCATGGCAACCTTAAGATCCGCCGCCAAATGACTAATATCCACCACCGAGTCGACCATTTCTTGCACTGCAGTGACGCTAGGAAATTGCGCTGCGGCTTTCTTTGACTTTTGCACGCAAGTCTTGAGCGCTTCGGAGAGCGCATCGGTGCAGCGTAAGATTTTCTCCTTCAACTCCGGTTTGGAGACATTGCGATGCACTATATCGCCGATTGTGACAAGATTGTGCGCGCTGACGACGACAAATTTGCCATAGGCAATGAAAAATTTCGGCGGTTGATTCTTTTCCACCGTCTCTAGGAAGGAGTCGATCGCCTGTTGGAGATTACCCATGTGCGTGGAGATTTGTACGGCATAATAGCATACCAATTTTTTGTCCTTCACCGTTAACTCTTGCTTTTTGACGCTGTTGTTTGCGGCAACCGTGGTGGGTACATTTGAGGCGGCCATGACGGTCGTTTCTGCCGCTTTAATAACGGTATCGAAGTTTTTCTTCAAATTTGCTGGTATAGCCTCACGTAGCGCTGAATTCTTTTTCGCTGCTGCATCTTTCGATTCGAACGAAACATAATCATAATCTTCCACCCATTCCGAGCTGCCGCGATTTGGTTGATCTTGTTGTGTTGAGCTTGCGCCTTTCGCACTCTCCACCGCTGCGTCCTCAGTGGCCGAATCACTTAGACTGCGCTTAAATAGCAGCGACGCATTGCCGTGTATGAAAGATATTGTCTGCCGCACGTCTTCGGTGAGCGTTTGCGCGCAGGCTATCAGCTGATCGAGGCTGTCGGGCGGTTTGCTGATTGTTTTGTATTTCTCTTCACTGCGCAACAGTTGCTCCACTGCCCAACCCTGTGCATCCAGAGTTTCGGTGGTATCGTGCACGAGTTTGTCAGCGTCACGTAGGGCGCGCACATGTGGACGCAGTTTCAAAGCCAAATTGCGATCCTCAGAGCGCGTTGCATTACCTAAAGCACCCTCACCGAACTCGCTGAGGTCATGCAGCGCGGTGCGTAGACGCACAGCGGTCAGCTTGACGTCCATTAAGACTGGTTCCAGCTTCTCGCGTTGACGCCAGTTTGGTGTGACAAAGGAGAGCAGTCTGGATGGGCAAAAGGAAATTAGTTATAAATAAAATGCAAGCTTTAAAAAACACAATTATACTTACTTTGTGATTGCTGTTGTCGCCTCGAATTGCAGTTTATCCAGCGTATACAGCGCCGAGTTCAATTCCAGTGGCAACTCTTTGCTTGCCGCCGCGGCCATTAGTGTGGTGTTGGGCGACACCTTCTCTGCAACCGGTGTGCTCACGTTCGACGGCAGTGGGAAATCGTAAGCGCCGCATTGGCCATTCGCAGCTTGCGCCGACTGTTGCTGCTGCTGCTGTTGCTGTTGGCGTTGTTGTTGTTGTTGCTGTAGTAAAAGTTGTTGTTGCTGCACGACGCGTACCGGTAGCGGATTACGACGCGGCACATCATAGTCAGGCATATTCGCCAACGAGGAACGATTCGACGACGAGAAGGATAAACTCAAACTGTCGCTGGTCAACAGCGACGAGTTCGAGCTGCTCGGCGTCAAAGTGTTGTGATGCTGCAACAACGAGTTGAGCGGACGCGGCACATCATACGATTCCTCTTGTATGGGCGTCGAACAGACTTTCATATTGTGATGCAGCTGCGTGGCCGATGTCGGTGTGCGACACACATTCTTCGGACAATCGTAATTGACTGGCGTGGCCGGCTTTGGTGTATCGTAGGTCTCGAACTCGCTGCTATTTCCGCTGCTGCCATTCGACATCATGCAGATGTTCTGATAGATACTTTGGTTGCTGTATAGTTGTTGTTGTTGCTGTTGTTGTTGTTGATGATGATGATGAGGTTGACTATGCCAACGACTGAAGGATGATACGGTTGATGTATTAGCGACAGCCGGACAGTTGTAGATGTAAACATCACCGTGTCGCTGCGGCGTTATGACCTGAGGTGAAGGGGGGGGGAGAGAGAGAGAGAGAGAAAGTAAAAGGATTAATTACGTTAATGGCAGTAAATGATAACGGAAATGCGACAATTTTTCTTTGAACGGATGCGCTTATGCACTCATACTGACATATGTACATACATACATATGTATGTGTTTACACATATCTGACATTCAACACAAACATTGACCGACTCTCACGCTCACCTACTCAGACGAACGACATATCCGCTGTGTATCCTTATCCCATAAACACGCCTGCGACTGAATAGACAAGACGTAAGGTAACGTAAAAAAACATCTTATCGATTTTTTTACACACACTCGCGCCGACAGAGACTATTCAAGGTGGCACAATTACACGCACGCACAAGAAACCTCAAAGGATACCGTAAATGTATGAAGCATCCTTGTGTTTTGTGAAAATTACAAAAGTACAAAATTTTATAGAAAAAAAAAATATAATCAAACGACTTAAAACTAAAGAACTTCTTTATTGTAAGTGAAAAAAACAATTAATTCGATTATCCTTTCTAAGACCAGTTTCGCCCTCCGTCTATACGCAACACCACTCAAACGCACGGCAACGAGCCCAAATCACTACTGTCGCATTGTCGGCCAAACAAATAGTCTGATTTCTTAATTTTGGCTCTCTCTCCAGCGCATGCGCCTTGCGACAGCCTCAACTAGATGGCGCTGTAAGCATTAAACTTACTATTCTGGCTATGTGTTGCGCCTGGTGCAAGGACCTTGCTGGGTTTTCATTTTTATTTTAATTTTTTTTTATTTATTTTATTTTTTTATTTTGGTTTTCTTCTTCTTTATTCCCGTGCTTTGTGTGTAAACAACACGACACGAGCGTAATTCATGTCACTGCCAAGGTAAGGCGAGTGTTATGAGATCCTTTCCACCTCCTACTTCAATCACTCGCATAAGCTTTGTGAAATTGCCGGCTTTTAATGCATCCATGCACTTGCCGCCAGAAAGTCACGTAGGGGCGTAACCAAGGCGCTCACTTTGTGTATGTGTGTGTGTGTGTGCCGCGGAACTGTTGTGTGCCACCGAGCTGATGTGCATGGTAGTACATTTGTGTGGATGCGGGTGTGTGTGTGTGTGTGTACAGCAGTAAGCACTTGTATGTGGAAATGTCACTGTTTCCTTATTGCGCATAAATCACTCTGGTTTTTGCTTGAAAACAAATGGTTTGTGGAAATGCATGTTGAGTGCTTTTTAATTATTGTTTTCACTAGCTTTTTGTTGGTATTCTTGGATGTGCAACATTTTTATATTTAGTATTGTTTTTACTTTGTAAAACTTGCAACAAACGGATAAGGTTTGGTAGAAACAGCTTTCATTCCTGTTTTCTTAAAGGTTAAATTATTATCATAAATTTCCTGCCTCTGAAAGCGATCCTCTACGAAGGGATTAACCAAAGTTCGGAAAGTTGACCAGAAATTGACTTATTCCCATTCTTAATCTTTGTTCTTTTTTATCTTCTCTAAATTATCGCCATTGAGTTCAATGCATTTCTTGAGCCTAAAGATCTTCTTCTCTTCTGAAAACAGTCTTCAAAATCTTGCTTTTTCTTTTTTTTCAAGCTCAGCATTAACCGCGTTAATTGTCTCCTTTCCTTTTAACTTTTTTTTTTTAATTTTTGGAAATAATCATAAATCACAAGGTGCTATATTCGGCGGATATGGTGCTGCACGTATTTCTTCGACATCCCAGAGATCGCAGTAAAATGATTCGTTATTTCAGCAGTGTGGCTGCAGATGGCGCGTTGTCATGATGTAAAAAGTAGCGCCCGCAAATCCTCTTTCTTCCTGTTATCCAACAAATTTCAGAAAGCTGTTGGTACGAACTTAAAGAACCAAGATTCGTCAACAGTAACGACTTTACTAAAGTTGCCAGACTGACCACTTTCGAATTGGTTTCGGAAAAATTGAGTAAAATGCACTCGAACCTTTTTTTGGGCCACACTGCGACACACATCGTGCAGATTTCTTCGTGTATCCCAGATGATTACTTAAATATTCACGATACAGCCATGGCATTCAAGTCCGATTGATTGACAATTATCTCTTGAGTTAGTCGTTGGTCTTCGTCAATTTTTGACTACACCAGAGCTACAGTGACGTCGTCTACGGAAAAACGTCCGGTCTGGAATCTTCGGAACCACTTGCAATTCGTCTTTAAAGACGGTGCAAGTTTTTAAAATGATTTTTTTCATTCACTGAATATTTGTATTTGGATGTAAATTACGCCGAAACCCGAAGAAAATCACAAGGCTTTCAGTTTTGTTAGATTGAACAAAAACAAATTGAAAGTCACCAACTGACCGAACGTTTCTTAATCCCCTCGTAACTAGTTGGGAAAATATTGGCAGAGAACCCACTTCTTCTTACTTCGATTTTTAAATTATAAATTCAAGACGAAGTGGCTGTCTTCAGAACGTGGGTTCAAGTGTTCTTTTTATGCTCCAAATCCTGAGTTATAAATAATATTTTTAGCAAAAACTTGGAGCTCAATATTCGCCCAAGATTTAAACAAATAGCACTGAACTCATGGAAAACCGTATCCAACTGTAAGATAACAAAGTAAATTTGACTTAAGTCTAACAGGAGAAAAACAAAGGACCTAATGAACAGGTCTATAAAAAGTATACTCGTATAAGTATATATAGTCCGACAGCCGACATTACAGCACAGCGGCCTTTCGAAGAGCATTAATCATAAATAGGGCTGCCCTTGAACAGCTCTTGCTGCAGATGTGAACTCGAAGGGAATAGAGAAACAAATAACCATTTCTCTTGCAAATTTTATTACAGATCCCTTGGAAAGTGAAAACAGAAAAATCAAGCATTTAGGTCTATTTGAGCCCCAGCACACACTTTTCTAATTTTTCGGGAATTATATTAATTTTTCAATATTTTGATTTATCGAAAATTATTTTAATTTTTAGAAAAATCATTTTTTACATTTTAGGTTTAATTGTAAATATTATGCATGTATGTGTATGTTATGATAGTCTTATACATATACTACATCACCGCGTGAACCCTTAAAAGCGAAAAAACCTCCCGCTAGACATTACTCATAATTTAGGGCTCAAATTAAAATTTTCAAAAAACGGAAAAATTCGTAATATTCATTAAATATTTTGTTAGGCGATACCACCTTTTCAAATATGTAAAAAACTTATGTTTTCCATACTAACACTAGCAAATTATTACCAAACTACTTTAGTAAACCACAAGTAGAACCCCTTTGCTGTGCACTCACCCTTCCCCATAGGCATTCAGTCAATATTTGTAATTTCTTTTGACAATAATTGACGCATAACACGAGTCAAATTTCCACTCCACACACACACATAAACACTTTTTATTCATTTTCGAATGCATTCGGTAAGAGCAAACTGTTATTTATACAATTTCGAATGCATCGTGCAGATGCGCAGAGGGTTAACAGCTGCTGAGTACTCAACATGCTCATTTCCTAAACGGAATTTTCAAGGGTAAAAGGTAAAAGTGTGAAATTCAAATAGGAAGGGAAAGCGGAAAGTGGCCGCAGGCAATTGCAATTCTCGTTTGTTTGCGTGTTTGGTAGCCTCTTTGCTTGCTTGCCGGCTCTCCTAAGACGAAAAAAAAACCATTTGAAGATCAATAGAATTCGATAAAATTCTAGCAAAATGATGCAATACAAACAACATCTGCACTCCACTCAAGTGACTGGCAGGGACAATTGATGGCGAAGGGAAAGGGGAATGTGTTGACGCAATTGAAGGCATAGACATTAAAATAGGAAGGTTAGAACAATAAGCGAATTAATTGCGTACTACAAAATGAAGAAAGCAAAAAAGTACAAATTAAAGTAGCGGTAAAATTTCAAAAGTAAACATTTTTAATGAACATTTGTTACAATTTCTGAATTCTGCCTAAGGGTGCAGCTGGAAAGCTGATTTAAAAGTTTTTTTTTTGCACTCATGGGATATTAGCAATGAAATTTATTATTGATCATGAACGAATGCATATCTCAAATTCACTTTTGCAATATATTAGGTGTAGTAGAAAGAAATCCATTAGTTTTTTGCATAAGCTCGATGTTTGGTTGCCACACGAACTAGCGCAAAAAAAAACAAAAAAACATCTGCTAATCGCTGCTGAATCGCAACAAAATCGACCCGTTTTTGAAGCGGATTCTGACTGGCTATGAAAATGTGTCACTTGCGACAACATTGAGCGCAAACGGTCGTGTTCAAAGCTCGGAGAAGCGGCCCAGACGGTGGCCAAGACCGCATTGACCGCCAGGAAGGTTCTGCTGTGTGTTTGGTGAGATTGGCAAGGAATCATCTACTACGAGCTCCCATATGGCCAAATGCTCAATTTGGCGCTTTACTGCCAACAACTGGACCGCTTGAAGGCAGCAATCATCCAGAAGAGGTCATCTTAGATCAACAGAGGCCGAATTATCTTCTATGAGGACAACGCCAGGCCACACACGTCTTTGGTGAAGCGCCAGAAGCTCTAGGAGCTCGGATGGGAGGTCCTAATGCACCCACCTTATAGTTCGGACCTGACACCAAGTGATTACCTTTTTTTCCTGTCCACGGCGAAGGCGCTTAATGGTGAGAAGTTGGCCTCAAGAGAGGCCTGTGAAAATTAGCTGTCCGATTTTTTTGCCAATAGGGGAGCAGCCTTCTACGAGAGGGGTGTAATGAATTTGGCATTTAGTTGGCAACAAGTTTACGAACAAAACGGCGCATATTTGACTTAAATCGAACCAATGTACACAAAGTTATCATATTTTGAAAAATCAAAGACAAACCGAACGAACTTTTTACTTTACCAATATTTAAAATAATTTTTTCCTTTGCTATTATAAAATCTGAACGTTGGCATTATAAATAGATATGTGAAAGTAACTTATTCAAATGATTGCCTCGCGAATTTTCCCAAACTTCGAACCGTTTGTATTGTAGTACCATAATGGACAAGGAAA